TCTCTATTTTATGTCAAATAAGGTTTGGCCACTTCAAAATTTTTTTTTTGAGAGAAGTTGTTTAAATTTTATGTTTTAGTTAAGAATTTCGACCGAAAACCCCCTATTTCATCAAAAACACGCTACTCTGACTACATTCAGGTTTTGCGTACTGCCGGCCCCCCTAAATCTTTTCAATGGCTGTTAGAATCTATTTATATATTTAGATTATCCCGAAACCACTGTGCCTTCTTGTACTTTTGCTATAGTTTTCCGAAATAGAACTCTAACAAAGACGACATCTAAATATTTTGCGGGTTTAAAGGATCCATTCAAGGATAAATATATGAACTGGAAAAGTAATTGAAATCATAAATTGAAATCATAGTAATTGAATGCAAGCTACAATTGATACAATGTTTGTAAATGAAAAGATTATCAGAATATGTTAATTTTGACCTTTCTCATCAAGAAACACAAGACAACTGCATTTTAAGAAGAGTATTGTGACAAAAACCAGTCACCCCCCAGGGGATTGATTAAAAGAAATACCCCAGGAGAATCTTGTAACCTTCCTGGATACGAGCTGTGTTCATACATGAAAATTCTTAACAATAAATTGCTTGTGACTAAGCATGAAAGCCTAAGAATGCCTAAATTGACAAAGAATTCTCCCTGTAACCTCTCAAAAATGTTCTGAGCCTTTAGATAATATTTTCATTAAAATTTATAAGTTTTCCAAAATATTTCGAAATTTTTCATTTTTAATCATCACATTGACAAATATACAGTGGTATCTATTACTACATGAAATGAGACTCCAGAGACATTCTACAGATTTTATTTCATTTTTAACATCTTAACTAAAAAATTAAAGGGGCGCGGTAAAAGGTGGTTCTATCTAGTTCCCCAAATAAAATTTGAGGCAAATCGGTCTAAGGGTTCATGAGTTATCTAGGGCTTCCAAACAGACTACTAACATTAAATATATATATTTTTATTCCAACTGATGATTGGGTTAGACCCATGAAACATTTTGTCTTGGAAGAAATATATATTTAAACATCTAAAATGTATATTTAAACTGAAAAAGTTGAAAATACTATATTTATNTACATTAATATGTACACCGCAGCATACTTTAATATGTACACCGCAGCATACATTAATATGTACACCGCAGCATACTTTAATATGTACACCGCAGCATACATTAATATGTACACCGCAGCATACTTTAATATGTACACCGCAGCATACATTAATATGTACACCGCAGCATACTTTAATATGTACACCGCAGCATACATTAATATGTACACCGCAGCATACTTTAATATGTACACCGCAGCATACATTAATATGTACACCGCAGCATACTTTAATATGTACACCGCAGCATACATTAATATGTACACCGCAGCATACTTTAATATGTACACCGCAGCATACATTAATATGTACACCGCAGCATACTTTAATATGTACACCGCAGCATACATTAATATGTACACCGCAGCATACTTTAATATGTACACCGCAGCATACATTAATATGTACACCGCAGCATACATTAATATGTACACCGCAGCATACTTTAATATGTACACCGCAGCATACATTAATATGTACACCGCAGCATGCATAAATTTGTACACCGCAGCATACATTAATATGTACACCGCAGCATACATTTATGAAAATATGCTTTCTTTTTATCATTATTTATGGCGCTTGATATTCAGATTTATGTTTTGTTCGAAATTAAGATAATCCAAGCTGCACAAGAACATAAAATATAATATCTTCACAAACATAAAAACTGAAATAATCACATTATGACGCCGAAAATAGCAGGATTATGTCAATCACGTCTTTAAACTGAAAAAAAAGATTTAAATTCTTCAAATTAGAGTTAGAAATAGAAATAAGTATCAATTTAGAAAGCTTTATCAATTAAAACTTGGTCGAGTCTCAATATGTGATAAGGGAATCATTTTCATAACTGTAAAGAATGTTGTGCTTTAAAGAGATAGAATCCTGTAGGTTATACTACGTAAATATATTAAATATAATCCTAGATTTGATGTAAAATGAAAACATGGAATAACATATTTCTGTATTCCTGGGCAGAGACGTCAAAATATACTTGTCAGTTGAATACAGAGATAAAATACATAGAATTGATATGACATAGAGAGGAAATTAAACATTTCACTTTTCACAGAATAGAAATCAAATAGAGAGGAAATTAAACATTTCACTTTTCACAGAATAGAAATCAAAAAGAGGGGAAATTAAATATTTCACTTTTCACAGAATATAAATCAAATAGAGGGGAAATTTAACATTTCACTATTAACCTAATAGATATTGCATAAAGAGGAAATCAAACATTTCACTATTAACAGAATAGATATCAAATAGAGAGGAAATTAAACATTTCACTATTGACCGAATATACATATATATTTCAGTTTTTAAACTTCACATTTTATTAAAAAAGACGATCCTCAATCGTCCAAATTCTTTAAACAACTCATATATATTTGTATAAATGTATATATATATTTAAAGAATCAGCTTCAAATTAAAACATTTTAATATATTTCAGGATTTTAATATACATGATGTTTCATGTCTTGCGGCAATCCTCAGTAGATTAACCCTGACTATATATATTATAAACATATATGTAGTAAATATCCATGACTCCATAACGGTTTCTAGAAAACGTATTGTATTCAGGTACAATTCAGTTCCACTTAGCTATCAATGACTAAACCCGGACACAATCTCGTCAGCTATCAATGTCAACCAGGACATGAGCTCGTAATCAATGGGTGCGATCAGCTATCAATGTCTACACGGACACAAGCACTAAATCGATCACTCCAAGCCAATGGGAGCGATCAGCCTTCAATGTCTACACGGACACAAACACACAATCGAACAACGCCAAACCAATGGGAGCGATCAGCCTTCAATGTCTACACGGACACAAACACACAATCGATCAACGCCAAACCAATGGGTTCGATCAGCCTTCAATGTCTACATAGACACTAGCACTCAATCGATCAACGCCAAACCAATGGGCGCGATCAGCTATGAATGTCTATACGGACACAAGCACGTAACTATCAATGCCAAATCAACAGGCACGATCCTCAACCTGTTTATCAAAACAGTACGGAGTCTCTATATCAACTAACTATATTTCTTCAGTTTAGAAAAGAATTTGGTCTTAACAGCGTAATTATAAGTTATGCGCTGTGATATATAACGTAGTTAAACAATCACAATATGGGTATTACGGAGTTATAAATATATCTACGTACATTGAATGGGCACATTTAGCTATATGGACAATGTACAACGTAATTTACTATGGGGCCTCGGTATTTGGTACATATATATATGTTATAGATGTATTCCTTATGCTAAGTAATTTCCATCTATTTAGTGAATAACTTATTCATCTATTTATGTTTTAAACTAGGTTAGAAGGAAGGTATAAATGTGTAATATATGTATTACGGAAGCATTCAAGTAATATGACACCCTCCAACCTTACAGATTAATTTCTATATTCCTAACTATCTACCGCTTTATAACCTCGGTATACTAATTAAATATTTGTATACCCCTATACAGAAATGAATCACATAATATGTAAATATAGACTAGATACAGGAAATCTATAACTCTACAGGGTATCCAATTATTAAAAGAGACAGGATTTTAAGGAAAAGCTGTTAATTTTTCCGAAAAACTGTTCATCTACCATCAAACAAACTATGCACGCGTCTTTTTAATTTTCATGAGCCTGTTCCCTGAAAAAAAGGACTAAGCGTAATTTTAAGCAACTTGCGCATTTATACTACAGAAAACCGTGGAGAAGTAAACAGAATAATACACTTTATTCCACATTATTGACAAAGGTTTCATGGGTTCCCTTGGGAATCTGACATATCCTTGTTGAAATAAAAGGTTACTTTAAATTACGCTTACAGTCCCTTTAATTAGTTTAGATGTTATATTTACTGTAATATTTACTGAGAAATATATTATCTAAAATATATTCAAAGAATTTGAAATCATGTTTATCAAATATACATTAATATGTACACTGCAGCATATATTAATATGTACACCGCAGCATACATTAATATGTACACCGCAGCATACATTAATATGTACACCGCAGCATAAATTAAACATTTCACTATTGACCGAATAGATATTACATAAAGAGGAAATCAAACATTTCACTATTAACAGAATAGATATCACACAGAGAGGAAATCAAACATTTCACTTTTCACAGAATAGATTTCAAATAGAGGGGAAATTAAACATTTCACTTTTCACAGAATAGATATCAAATAGAGAGGAAATTGAACATTTCACTATTAACCGAATAGATATTACATAAAGAGGAAATCAAAAATTTCACTATTAACAGAATAGATATTACACAGAGAGGAAATCAAACATTTCACTATCCATAGAATATATATCATATAGAGAGGAAATTAAACATTTCACTATTAACAGAATAGATATAACATAGAGAGGAAATTAAACATTTCAATATCCACAGAATAGATATAGCATATAAAGGAAATCAAACATTTCACTATCCATAGAATAGATATTACAAAGAGAGTAAATTATCCACAGAATAAATATTACATAGGAAGGGAATTTAAAGTTTTACTATTCATAGAATAGATATCAAATAGAATGTGCCAATTCAACATTTAACTATCCACAGAGTAAACATAAAAATAGAGAGGAAATGAAAAACTTCATTAAATTAATTGCATTTAATTAAACAAAATTGGGTGATTTTTAAAAACTTGTCCTTACAGAAAAAAATTAATTTTTTTCCTTTTTAAATTGGTACATTCATATATAACCCTTTCCCCACGAGAAATTCCTAAAAACCTAGATATAAAAAAGTTCATCCTTGCCCTTATAATTGACAATCCCAATAAAATGAATGTCTTGTTCAGGCGCGAGTATGAGTATGGTAGACAAGTTAGGTAGCTTGAGTCAGCTGGGTAGTTTGAACCAGCTGGCCGGCAAGATATCACCTGGAGCTCATGAACCTGATCATGATGCAATCAAGATGTTTGTCGGTCAAGTACCCAGGTAAAAATAATAATCAAACAAACAAAAGGAAACCTTTAATAAATTTTCTGAATTAAAGGAACTGATTCTTTCTGAACAAAATTATTTATTACACAAAAGTAAATTAATATTATTTCTGGTTCTTTTTACAAAGTATTTATTTTTTTAAATAGACTAAACATGACATATAGAATAACTCTATGAATGTCAAATTTCTCCCTATTCTATTCTATTCTATTCTATTTTCCTTTTTTACTAAAATCATCACGCAACCCTCCAGTTACAGGAATCTTGTATGCTACAAATCTATCTTTCGACCTTTATAATTTCATGATTTGGAAAACCTTCCTTTCAGGATTTTTAAAAACCATTGTTATAAAAACATGTGAAACATTTAATATGTTGCTTGACCTTTTTTCAAACGATAATCTTGAAATACCTTATATACATAGATTCAGACCCCCCAGCCTTTATAGGTTTAAAATCATATCTTGAGTTTAACAGTCGTCTTCCTATTCCACGTTTTTATGGGCCTCATTGTAATATTGTTGGTGATGTTTTGTATGAGAAATTTGATTTTTTCCCTTTTTCCAGGTCTATGGATGAAGAGGAGCTTATTAAACTGTTCCAGGTGGGCCTTTTTTATATATCTATATTTATATTCCTAAAGTAGTCATATTTGTCTGTCTGTTGGTTTGTTTGGGTGTCCGATCATACCTCATGAACCCCTGGACCGTCTTTGTTTGGGGGAAATCGGTAGAACACCGGGAATGTTTTTAGTCTGGTTTTAATAACTGCAGACAAAGCTGGGTTCCCAAGCTTGTAGAATATAACAATCAAATTGAATCAAGGATAGATAAAATTTATCTATTGTTGTTATAACAAATGAAAGTGCAAAAGCATAATCACTTTTACAAGTTAATTTTGTTGCATCTTATGAATAATAAATGAAGTGTTAACTTTGAAGAAATCAATCACAATCAATTAATCCCAAAAATGTAAATCAGTTCCCATTTTTTGGAGGGCGGTGGATAGAAGGTTAAAAAAAGAATATTTTTTAATTTTGTATAAAAAAAGAATATGTTTCTCTCAAAAAAGGAAATTCTTCGCTGCGTAGAATATTTATTATACCTTTACTGCCCATTATATTACATTTAGTCCTCCATTGTAAATATACTGGGACAAGGAATAGAAATTTATCTATCTATCTATCTATCTATCTATCTATCTATTTATCTATCTATCTATCTATCTATCTATCTATCTATCTATTTATTTATTTATCTATCTATCTATCTATCTATCTATCTATCTAATATTCTTTAAAGTAAATCTCCATTTTCAAAAATGACATGTTTGAATCACAACAGTACCCTTTGAGCTAGAAAAACAACGATTAGTTCCACATTATAGATCAGATAAAGGGTATCGTTGTGAATCGGGCATTTTCCTCTAAGAAATGGAAAGACAGTAAAAATGGTGAAATAGCAATGTATATTTTGAGTTTTGCTCATTAAGTAAAACTCCAAAATTAGAAAAACATAATGTAGTAAAGTTACGATTCATCGTGCTGCTTCCAAGACTGTCACATTCTAAGATTTGTATGTCGTCATTAAGTTCTGATCCGTTGTGCAGGGTAACCCTGTATTGTTCTGTGTAATCTGTGTCATTAGTACTTAATCTAATATTACTACTTATCCTGTTTAAGGATTTTTTTTAATTATTGTGAAAATTACCATCTTTATCACTATTGTAAACAGAACTATCTATTTTATAATTTTCATAAAAATTATTATCTATGTAGAATTATTATTTGTTAAGGGGTTGTTGTTTTGTTACCTTTTATAAGCGCAAGCACGCTTTGGATGCTCAGAACGCGCTCCACAATATCAAAGTTCTCCCAGGGGTAAGTCAGCACGCGAGCGTTTTTTTACGTTTGTCAGTTTTTTTCCGTTTTAAGAATATTTTTTGTTTAAAATTTAAATGATAAATATATATAAAAAGCACGTTAGTTATTTACTCTCTGCAGTCATTATATTTTATGTAAATATTAGTTGATGTTATGTGGACCATTGTATCTGTACAACTCGTACTGTACATCTTGTTGTATATACTTTTAGAGGCTTTAAAAGATAGTAAATGTACATAGCACCGTATACTCCAATACATTTCAAGTACAGAGCCGACTTTTTAAGCAGTTAGAGCAAACTGTACACTTGACAGTATAAGCTACTGACTATATAAGGCAAGACGGGACGGTACACCAAATGAATCAGCCCCTTTCTAGGGAGATTCTAGTGATAGGTAATAAATATAGTAACACTTAGGAGTGTTCAGTAAGCACTGTACAGACTACAGAGTACAGCATTATGTACAATGTACATCGAACAATGTTCAGTAAGCACAGTACAGAGTACAGCATTATGTACATTGAACAATGTTCAGTAAGCACTGTACAGAGTACAGCATTATGTACAATGAACAAGGTACATTATTTAAATTTCATAGATGGGGGAAATCACTCACAAGTTTAATTAATATGCGTCTTTTCTAAAATACAAAAATACTACAGTTTCTCCATCAGTGAACCCGGCAGTATTGGCTCCAGTACAAAAGGTAGAATGACAAAAGGTAGAATGCTCAAAAGGTAGAACATATATAAGGTAGAACATAAATAAGGCAGAATTTTCCAATTTTTTAGAAGCAAGAAAATATTCCAATTTTTGCAGGAAAATCTGCGAAACTTTTTTTTTTAAATTCCCAAAACTGCATTTCTCGTTTGAATTCAGCATGGAGATTTTGGTCACCTTCATAACGTCGACTGATACAAAGCGTCGACTACTGAATAAGTCGACAGTTACGAAAATGTTATGTTGGGTTAGGTTAGGTTAAGACAAATTCTGGGCCTAGCGCTGCGGATAGGATAGGCTAGGGGGCCGAGCGCTGCGGATAGGATAGGCTAGGGGCCGAGCGCTGCGGCCTTTTTCGTGTTGAATGTTGATTTTAGCTGATTACTTCACGCTTCTTATTAAGCAATTATTGTTAAATTTTGTAACTGTAATAGCCTGTTCTAGCCGCGGCGCTCAGCCCAGAAATTGTATTAACTTAACCTAACCGAAAATAAGGTGACCGTCAGCACATTTTTCAACATCGAGGAGGCCGCAGCACTCGGCTCAGAAATTGTCCTAACCTAACCCAACATAATGTAACATTAAAATTGGAAAATTCTGCCTTTTGAACCTTATACCTTTTCTAATTTTACCTTTTCTAATTTTACCTTTTCTAATTTTACCTTTTATCATTCTACCTTTTGTAATTCTACCTTTTGTCATTCTACCTTTTGTCGTTCTACCTTTTGTAATTCTACCTTTTGTAATTCTACCTTTTGTCCTTCTACCTTTTGTCGTTCTACCTTTTGTAATTCTACCTTTTGTAGTTCTAGCTTTTGTCCTTCTACCTTTTGTCATTCTACCTTTTGTAATTCTACCTTTTGTAATTCTACCTTTTGTAATTCTACCTTTTGTCATTCTACCTTTTGTAATTCTACCTTTTGTTCTTCTACCTTTTGTTATTCTACCTTTTGTAATTCTACCTTTTGTCGTTCTACCTTTTGTAATTCTACCTTTTGTCATTCTACCTTTTGTAATTCTACCTTTTGTAATTCTACCTTTTGTACTGGTGCCGCAGCATTGACAGTAGGTTTCTATTTGATATTATAACAATGTTTCTTGTTCTATCTGAACTCTAATATCTCTAAAACCTATTTGTTTTATTATCATTGTTATTGTATGGCCAACTTAAGTACATTCAACGTTCACACATATTGAATCCATACATTCGCTTAAGTACATACAGTGTTCACATGTAGGTTCCTAATACGTTCTGTATTAAATCCATACTACTCCTCCCCTCCCCCTTGTAAAAATTTGTTAACCCTGATCAACGTACAGACTATATGGAGTTAGGCCGGAGTCATTTATGTACTTGATGTAAAATGTTTAAAGTTAAAAAAAGGAAAACATTTTTATGTTCATCCTTTATCATGATTATTAGGAATTTTAACAATAAAATATCCAAAAACGATAAAAGTTCCATAATTTCCTTTAAAATCTAGTAGTTACAATTTATATGGACTTTAACTCCATTTTATAGACTAATAGGGCCGATTTACAAAGGTACCATTTAAACATTTGTTTGAGCAAAAATGAAAGAAATATTCTCGTTTTCTCTTTTAAAATTGATTATTTTTTATTCCGGTTTCCCTATTTAACTGTATTATATATACAGCAGAAGCAATGAAGGAAAGTAACAAAAATAATCTTTTTTCAAGAGAAGAAAAACGACTATATCTTCACAACGGTACAACTTACAAGGTACCGTTGTGAATCAGATGCTTGATGGTTGGTCCTTGTTAATATTTTTATCAAAATATTCCCTCATCCAAGTTTAAAACTAAAGTTCCGCGAGGTTTTGGAAGATTTCAAACTTTCCTGGGGCTTTAAAGCAATTACAGAGTTAAATAGAAAATATTGTAAATATTAAACACCCCCCCCCCCTCCCCACACGGCCCCCCAAATATTCTTAAGATAATTTCTTCTGCCCTCCTGCTATGATATATAATTACTCTAATCCTTGATATTTATGTTTTTGATAAAGAAAACTATAATCATATCATCCAACATTAACCTATTCTCAAAAAGAACAAAAATTATTAATATTAGAATAAGGTTTATTGAAAAATATTAATTTGATTTATTTTTCTATTCTAGTTACCCCACCCCCTCCCCTCCTCAACCTTATGGACACCCCCCTCATTTTTTTACCCGACATCAACTTCTATTTGACATGACATATATCTTCACGTGATCCAAAGGTTGCAAAAATCGATTGAAATTTTTAAATTTCTTTCTCCAAACTTAAGCTAAAAAATATTGCTTTAAAATCTAAATGTCTAGGTTTACAAAAAATAATGTGATTAGTAAGGTAAACTCAATTACTAATACGTTGCGACACTTCAAAGTCGAACCTGTCTTATTAGAATTGATGCGACCTTTCACAGCAGCCTGGATCTATTTGCCATCCCTTACCCTCATCTTTTCCATCCCTCACCCTCCCCTCCCCTTCTCCATCCCTCACCCTCCCCTTCTCCATTCCTCACCCTCCCCTTCTCCATTCCTCACCCTCCCCTTCTCTATCCCGCCCCTCCCCCGAACCTCACATGGACATTTCTAGCTCAATTATTTCCAATATTGGATTTTTATCAGAACAGGAGGAATCCCAGATTTTAAATGTTTTTACATTTATATTTTCTAACTTTTTCATTTTAGAAACTTTCTTATTACTTTTCCTATTCGTGAAACAAAAAATTTAATTAAATAAAAAAGAAATTGTCTTCATCACGAAACGTCTATTATTAGTTTCCTTTTTACTAAATATTTCACTAAATTTTACTGCATGTTCATGTCATCAAAATCTGTAAAACTGAACTCTACAATTAAGAATTGTTTAATTTCAATTTTTTTATTTATTTTATGTTTGTCCCTATTTTTTAAATACAAATTTTTAGTAAATTATACATGCTAATAGATACCTTTATTATTGATAATATTTAATCTGAACTGGTGTTGATTGTATAGTAGTGCAGGAGTATCATTATGATTTATTAGGGTTAATTCCTTTCCGATTTGATGTGTAAAGTACAGCGGGAATATTTGTATTTACTGAATAAATATTAAATCTATCGTCGTACATTTATATTTATAAATATTTTGTTGCATTTTTTCGTAAACAATAGTTTTATGGATTAATGAAAATTTTGCAATCCTACGACCATGTTCATGTTTAATTGTTTAGCAAGTACTATACAAACTGTTAGCTAAAAGGGAGTGTAAGCATAATTTCAAGTGACCCTCTTTACAAAAAGTCCACGGCCTGATTCACAACCGTATTTTGTTGAAACCTTGATATGATTAATAATGGGGAAGATATTTTCGTTTTTCTAGGTTTATTTATCATAATTTCAATAAGTTTTCCCGCAGTATAGAAATGCGCAAGTAACTTTTGTAAAGAAACCACAATTGAAAATAAACAGTTCTTAAATTTTAAATATTGATATCTTATTCATACTTGATCAGACAACATTTGTAATGTTTTTAACATTTCGAATTGGACATTGCCAAAGCTGCAAGAAGAGTCACTCGGAATTACGCTTACAGTCCCTGTTCAAGTAGATAATTAAGAACGTGAGTTTTCAACTTCTTGTTATGGTATGACAGTTTTCATAAGTCCATGTTTTTATCACTGCTTTATCCGGGTTGCAACCTCTTCAGTACTCCTGTGAAAACTAAATTATCAAAATTTACAGTTTTGCATTTTATTTTTAGAATTTTAGAATTTTTAATAAATTCTAATTTTACAAACTAATTAGCTAAATTCCAATGTGTCAAAAAAGATTAAGATACAATTTGATATAAAAAACAATGCCCGTTAAATTGATAATCCATTGTTGTTATCTTTAAATATATAATCCATGGTTGTTATCTTTAAATAGATAATCCATGGTTGTTATCTTTAAATAGATACTCCATGGTTGTTATCTTTAAATAGATAATCCATTGTTGTTGTCTTTAAATAGATAATCCATGGTTGTTATCTTTAAATATATATTCCATGGTTGTTATCTTTAAATAGATAATCCATGGTTGTGATCTTTAAATAGATACTCCATGGTTGTTATCTTTAAATAGATAATCCATGGTTGTTATCTTTAAATAGTTAATCCATGGTTGTTATCTTTAAATAGATAATCCATGGTTGTGATCTTTAAATAGATACTCCATGGTTGTTATCTTTAAATAGATAATCCATGGTTGTTATCTTTAAATAGTTAATCCATGGTTGTTATCTTTAATCCATGGTTGTTATCTTTAAATAGATAATCCATGGTTGTTATAAACTTTTCCGGAGTCTAGCTATGTTTCAAAGTTTTAGCTACAAGTTTGTAGAACGATACAAAACTGCAATCTGTTTAAATGAGCAAGTAATCTTACATCGATTTGTTATTTTCCTCAAGACACAAAAAGAAAGTCTTCTGCAGAAGATTTACTTACATAAGTAGAATTCTGACTGATACAAAAAAAATTTGCAAAATGTACAGAGAGGAGGTTGCAACTATGATTGTGATGTTTGGTTTATTCACCTTGTCCATGTTCTAGATGCATCATCCCATACAGATGAAACCAGCTGATACTGAGAATAGAAATGGTAGGTTCTCCCCTGGTTATCCCCCTCCCTTCAGCAGCTACTGTGCTAGTAGCTTGGAAAGAAATAAACAGAATAGAGCCAAAAGTTTAACTCTCTAGCGCAGTGTGAAGAATTCTTAAATTTGACCAATAAGAAATCAGCAAATGAGTTCAATTTACTTAAATTGAATCAATACCGTCGATTAATAAGGTTACTTTGAACATATCTCCCCTGGGGGGGGGGGGCTAGGGTTATGCTAGGGTTTACATAAAAACATATCTCCCCGGGTGGGGGGGGCTAGGGTTATGCTAGGGTTTACACCTAGATAAAAACATGTCTCCCCTGGAGAGGGGGGCTAGGGTTTAAACCTAGATAAAAAACATATCTCCCCCCTCCCCGGAGAATTTGTTTAATCTCAGTTCCAAGCTTTGATGTTTTCAAGTTAGAAAGGTTGGTTTCAGTGGTACATTTATATTGGATTTGAAATCTTTTTAATTCAGGGGATTTGGAATCAAACTTGTGTGGATTTGGATCCAGTTTACGGGATTTGGAATCAAGTTTCTAGGGATTTGAAATTAAATTTGTAAGGATTTTGAATCAAACTTATGGGGATTTGGAATCAAACTTGTGGGGATTTTGATAAATCTTTTGAGGATTTGGAATCAAATTTGTGGGGATTTGGATCAATCTTTTGAAGATTTGGAATCAAACTTGTTGGGATTTGGATTAATCTTTTGGGGATTTGGAGTCAAACTTGTGAGGATTTGGAATCCAGTTTAAGGGATTGGAAATTATGGTACTGAAAATTCGGAATAAAGCTTGTGGGGATTCGGAAGTTTATGTTTGATAAAATCATAAAGAATTTGTTTTAAATTAATCATTATTTATTCGCTTATTTTTTGTGTAGAAAATTTATTTATTAAATCATTGAAACAAACTTTTTGTATCAACAAGTTCAAATCTGCAAGAAAATTCTAAAATATAAGAAATTTAACTATTTCTGAATTTAGGGCTAAGATTGAGAAGAGGGGGGATTATTATTATTATTATTATTATTATTATTAAAATCATTATTATTATTATTAATATTATTATTTTGTTTAGAGCGTAAGCTGTTTGTGGGTATGGTATCTAAACGGTACACAGAAGACGACATTAAACAAATGTTCGAATCTTTCGGAAATATTGAGGAGTGCACTATTCTAAGAGATGACAATGGAATCAGTCGAGGTAAAGAACAATTTTTTTCATTTTTTTATCGGTTACTGTCAAGAAAGATACGCCCTGTAACTGCAGTTTCTGGGTAAACAAACTCAGTTTTGCTTTCAGGCTGAAATATTTGTTTACATTCTTTACAGAGACTGCTGTACACTTTTGTTTACATTCTTTCCAGAAACTGCAGTACACTTTTGTTTACATTCTTTCCAGAGACTGCAGTACACTTTTAGTTACATTCTTTCCAGAGACTGCAGTACACTTTTGTTTACATTCTTTACGGAGACTGCAGTACACTTTTGTTTACATTCTTTCCAGAGACTGCAGTACACTTTTGTTTACATTCCTTCCAGAGACTGTAGTACACTTTTGTTTACATTCTTTACGGAGACTGCAGTACACTTTGTTTACATTCTTTCCAGAGACTGCAGTACACTTTTATTTACATTCTTTCCAGAGACTGCAGTACACTTTTGTTTACATTCTTTACGGAGACTGCAGTACACTTTTGTTTACATTCTTTCCAGAGACTGCAGTACACTTTTGTTTACATTCTTTCCAGAGACTGCAGTACACTTTTGTTTACATTCTTTCCAGAAACTGCAGTACACTTTTGTTTACATTCTTTCCAGAGACTGCAGTACACTTCTGTTCACATTCTTTTCAGAGACTGCAGTACACTTTTGTCTAAAACATTTATTTGAAATTAGAGGAATATTGGTGAATTTTCTTAATCACTAAATAATATATGTAAACAAAGTAACCAATTTAAAGAATAATATTTGTTTTGTTCAGGTTGCGCATTTGTAACCTTTACTAGCCGTAGCGTAGCTGCTGTAGCCATCAAGGAACCTGTCAAACTATTAACAAATCAATTAAGCAATTGTTCTATCAATCAATCAATTGAACTTCTGTCAACCCTGCAAACATTTAAACATTTAGTCTCCAACATTCCGATGTCGAAGATTAAAAGTCCCGAATTATTAACCCGACATCATCGGAACCATTGTCAGTTTAAATTTTTAACCGTTTCAATGTGTCCGTCAATGCTATCAATTAATCAAATATACTGTAAATTATTACATTACACAATTATACAATTTAATTCCCAATCAATTCATCAAAATGTCAATGAATGTATCAAAATGTCAATTTATGCATCAAAATGTGAATTAATTCATCAAACTGCCAATTAATTCATCAAATGTTAATTAATGCGTCAAAATGTCAATCAGTGCATCAAACTGCCAATTAATGCATCAAAATGTCAATTAATTCAACAAAATGTTTATTAATGCATCAAAATGTCAATCAGTGCATCAAACTGCCAATAAATGCATCTAAATGTCAATTTATTCATCAAAATGTCAATTAATGCATCAAAATGTCAATCAGTGCATCAAACTGCCAATTAATGCATCTAAATGTCAATTAATTCATCAAAATGTCAATTAATTAATTCATCAAAATGTCAATCAGTGCATCAAACTGCCAATTAATGCATCTAAATGTCAATTACTTCATCAAAATGTCAATTAATTCATCAAAATATCAATCAGTGCATCAGACTGCCAATTAATGCATCAAATTGTCAATAAATGCATCAAACTGTCAAAAACCCAATGAAATAAATTAAATGTTAGACTGTCTCCTATTCTATACTTTTACTCAGAATAACGATATATCTTTGTTTAATGTTTAGATAATTAACTGTTTTATTCTTCATTATACATTATACATTATTCAGTATACATTATACATTATACATTATACATTATACATTATGCATTATACATTATACATTATACATTATATATTATACATTATTCATTATACATTATACATTATACATTATTCATTAAACATTATACATTATACATTATACATTATACATTATACATTATACATTATACATTATACATTATACATTATACATTATACAATACATTATATACATTATACAATACATTATACATTATACATTATACATTATACATTATACATTATACATTATACAATACATTATACATTATACATTATACATTATACATTATACATTATACATTATACATTATACATTATACATTATACATTATACATTATACATTATACATCAACTAATTATTCCTTTTTTCTTTTTCTTTCCTCTACATATTCTCTCTTCTTCTTTTTATTGTTTCATTCTTTTTTTCTAATTTAGAGCGAAGTTTCTTTTTCTGTTTCCGTTGCATCGATTTTACAGAAAATAAAAAAGTTTCATGGCTTCAAGTGCTTAAAGCTACTTCAGTTTAGAATTAAACTTCTTTTATTTCAATTATTGTTTTTTTGCCAATTTTGTTAACAACTCAAGAAATATTTGCAGGAAAAAAAAGTCAAAAAAAGGCAATTTTCCTCAAAATCATCTGTTTAATTTCTTAATTGGTTTGATACAGTTCCAAACTCTCTTCCTAATCCATTTAACTATATATAACAGTACCTAAGAGTAAGAGTATCTAGAAACTGTCAAACTGACAATCAATCATCAATTCCAGTTTCTATTTATAGTTCCTCTGCAGTCTAATTTATATATATCTTTACATATATAAAGTTGGAAGCTCTGTTTGTTTGGATGTCCGATCATAATTCATGAACCCCTTGACCGATTTGCCTCAAATTTTGATTGGGGCAAAAGTTTCCGGCATTGCACGTGGAATTTCAAAAATTTCTAAATTATTTTAGCCTATGTCATGGGTTCTCTCAAAAAATATTAGCTAATTTGGTCTAGCCGTTCGGCCAGCTATATCCAACATAAAAATATATATATATGATCGAAGAGCTTTATTATATTGTTAACATATTCGTATTATCTATCTATCTATCTATCTATATTTGACGGTGGTGTTGGTCCAGGCTATGCACCACTCCCAGACCATGGACGGGTGCAGTTCCCCCCTTGTTGTCAAGTTTGCTGATACACAGAAGGTAAATGGTGTACATATACAGAGCTAACTACACAGAAGGTAAATAAAGTACATGCAGAGCTAACTACACAGAAGGTAAATAAAGTACAAACAGAGCTAACTACACAGAAGGTAAATAAAGTACATACAGAGCTAACTACACAGAAGGTAAATAAAGTACATACAGAGCTAACTACACAGAAGGTAAATAAAGTACATACAGAGCTAACTACACAGGATGAGACTCTTGAGACGATTACACAGAATTTGTATTCTCCGTTTATTATATATTAAAGTCCCTGTGAGTGTTACTGTAAACTTGTTTCTTTCTTCGCCAAATCAGTCTTTAAGTTTATAAGCCATTAATAGACTGCACTTAGGACAGAAGACTTAATTTAACCTTAGAATCGTCTTGTTTACAGAGTTTTAGGTCGTTTTCATAGTTTCATTCTTTGTGGGTAACCCTGTACAATCAGTAGTTACTTTTGAATTTATCATTTGAATTATTACTTTTTCGAATACAAAGAAGTGAACGTTTGACTTAATTTTCTTGTCTCTAGATATTTGCAATTGGATGGTTAAAACAATTAATATTTTAAACTTTGGTTAAATCTAACAAAGTCTACCACTTCAGATTTCAAAGACATGTTTATAATTAGAGTTTGAGGGAAGTGTTCAGATCCCAATCAAAATTTATATTCACCCCTTCCCAAGTCTCCATCCATTTTTTCCTTAAAGCAAAATTATTAAACGTGAATCCCTGATATTTATATTGAATCCTTGGTTTTAGGATTGCAATGTAAATACATATCTCTTCAATCGTTATACGTGACGCAATAATAAATATAGGAGGGAATTTTGCAATGTCGGGGCTTCCCAAGAGACCTTGTTTTGTCCTCAAGCATTGCACATGTCGAAATAAGTAACTTTCCTTCAAGTTTAAAAACTTTTATGTTGTCAATGATAAATCATCTTTTTCAAGTTTTATTGAATTTCCAATAAGTAAAAGGATAAAATTGCTTTTCCATTCTTGTGTTTAAAATCAGAACTACAGAAGCTACGAGGTCACAAAGTCGTAGAAGTAATATCATATAAATTTGACCTTGAATGATAAAGCTATTTTAAGATCTATATTTTTCTCCTCCTACCTCTCAAAGCAAAATGAAACACAAAGCTTGGAAAAAATGTCACCTATTTATCTATCTATCTAGCTACAGGGTGTCCTATTTATCTATTCATATACTTATCTATCTATCTAGCTACAGGGTGTCCGGCCCAATAAACACGGGAATTGAAAGATGACTTGAATATCGTATTGATTTCCGATGATAGATAAATTACATAAAGTACATCAAAAAAAGATTGAACGTCTAATGAACTTTTCCTTGTAACTTTAAAACTGACGGAGCTATTAAAATTTAAACAGTTTTGTTGATTTTTAATAAACTGGAATCTGTACAAATTTCTTAATATCTCCGTCAATTTTGAAGGTGAAAAAAAGGTAGACCACATTTTGGAAAAGTCGTCATTTAATTCCCTGTTTATTTGGACACCCTGTCTATATCTGGACTATGTGAATGGCCCTAGCCTTGCCTTCATTGTGTAGTAGTACTTGAGCATGCAGAATTTAAACTATACGTATTAAGGTACAGGAGGAAGGGGGGGAAGGTCAAATTTTAGTATGATAAGGAGGGGGGGAGGGGTTAAGGTCAAATTTTAGTTTAATAATTTTAATCTACACTATTTTTTCTAATGTAATTTAATTTNCCTTACTTTGCAACTTTATAAAACAAATTATTGAAGATAGAAATGAACATTGTAAAATATTGTTATTTCTTGAACTAAGTAATATATGAAAGAAAAATTGTTGCCAAAAGATGAAGTTTTTATGAAACTATTTTCAGAAGATATACTCATCGAAGAAAAACTGTTTAAGGAGAAGTAAATTATTCAGATTTTTTCACATTTTTTAAAGAAATATCATTTTCACAAAAATAGAGGTTTTGTTGTAATGTTATGTTTTAAATATGAAAGGAACCCCCCAAAGGTAGTGTTCAAGTCTCACAAGAACAAAGAAGTTGAACATTTTTTTAAAGAGAAACAAAATAAAGAAATAAATAACTAGAGATAGATATACTGCTACTACAGTTCATCTAGAGTCACAGATTTACGTTGGTACTTTGGCTAGATACCTCCTTTGGCTGGATACCTTCTTTGGCTAGATACCTCCTTTGGCTGAATACCTCCTTTGGCTGGATACCTCCTTTGGCTAGATACCTCCTTTGGCTAGATACTTCCTTTGGCTAGATACCTCCTTTTTGGCTAGATTCTTCCTATTTCTAGATACCTCCTTTGGCTAGATACTTTCAACCAATCCCCTCCGGCAACATATCTCCTTCAGTAACATATCCCCTCCAAAAACATATCTCCTCTGACAACATATCCACTTCGGTAACATTTTTCATCCAGTAACATAACCCCTAGAGTAACATATCTCCTCCGGCAACATATCCTCTTCGGTAACATATCTCCTCCAGTAACATATCTCCTCTGGCAGCATATCTCCTCCAGTAAAGTAACATATCTCCTCTGACAACATATCCTCTTCGGTAACATATCCCCGCCTGGTAACATATCTCCTCCGGCAACATATCCCCTGCAGCAACATATCTCTTCTGGCAACATATCCCCTCCAGTAACATATTTCCTCCGGCAACATATCTCCTCCGGCAACATATCTCCTCCGGCTACATATCTCCTCCGGCAAAATATCTCTTCTGGCAACATATTTTTTTCGGTAAACCTGCAGTCAAGTAACTTTTCATGAGCCTAACACGCTCTGCACACACAGTGTCAGTAGGCCCGACATTTCATGCAGGAACCCCTGTCTGGTTTTTATATCAGTAAGTTAAAATGTCTCTAATTTCAGTTTTTATTTAATTTTCTAAGTGGGATTTTCTAATTTCCTTTCCGCTGGATTTCATCTGCAAAATCAACAGATTATGTTACGCTAGATGTGTGTTTATAATAAACTGCACATTGTACAAATATGTATGTACATTGTACATTGTACATTGTACAACTTGCATCGTACAAATCATACATTGTGTAATGCAACCTTTTCATAAGAAACTTTGAGATTAAAACTTTTAAATTAAAATACAATTGATACTTTAAACATTTGAGAGTGGAGTTCTAAGAAAATGAATAGTTACAAATCACAATAAGAAAATTATATGCACGGTGTCCTAATAAACATGTTGTTTCATTTTCATAATTATTGAAACTTTAATCAAGTGCCTCTTTTTCGATTAATTAAGATGGAATATTTTGTAAGGCACAAACCCAGCCTTTTTTGGTAGCTAACTGAAATCTGGAGACACAGGGGNAGGCGAAAATATGATTTTTACTGTTATATCCGAAGATTTACAAAAACATTAAATGTAAGATAATCCTCACACAGAATAAATAAATAAAGTTTTATCTCTTTATTACACACATAATACATTTAGTTACACATATTGAAAATTATTTTAGATTTAGCGAATTGTCTCCATTTAAAACATTTATTTAGGAGAAAGAGCATAAGAAACTTCAGCAATTACAAACTAGTCTGTGGAGTATAGCTGGTACTCAACCTAGCATTACACAGGCTTTAATAGGTAGGTTTTTGCAATTCAGAAAAAAAAAATCTAACAATTAGTTCGTATAATCGAATGAATCAAAAGAAATAAAAAAATTGTTAGATATGTCGAACAGAACGTTTAGGATAGACATTTTGCAATATATTCTTACATTCTGTTAATTATTTCGAAAAATAATTTAGAATTTATTTTAATAATTAGATATTGGAACCAAATTATCGAGTTTTTACTGATGTAGATGAGTCTCTAAAAATATCAAGGCCTTATTTTATAATTAATTATGATTTTATAAATTTACTAAATATATAATTTTTAAAAGGATCTCCACTGACGGTAGGACTGTCACAAATACCACAGCTAACCCATCAGTTGTCCCAACAGCTAGGTGCTCAGCTGTCCCCTCAGATGTCCCATCAGCTGTCTCCACAGCTGTCACAACAGCTTTTACCTCAGGAACAAACAACTTTCTTTCAACTGATCCTTCATCAAAATTAAAGAATAAAAATTGTCATCAGAAAAAGTTGCGTAAAATAGAGTGAAGTTTATATATTTATTCAAAATATTTTGCACATTTTATAGATCGACTGACAGCACAATTTTCATGGTTCCTTGGTTTATAGATTGGTCCGATCAACTACATTTGTTTAATTAGTTTCTATACAAAAATCACAGACTACACAGACTGCTCATTCACTCTACCTGGATATGCTGAGCAGGCCTATAGTGTCCCGGCACGCCATGCTACGGTTCCATGTGATGTTTTTTTTACTACATCTCACTGCCATTTGTTGCATTCAGGGGTTAAGTTTTACAACTTTTAAAGAAATACTCCAATTTTAAACATATGAATATTGTCTAATTTTAAAGATTTTGCATTTCCTATTCAAAGGATCCTTAAATATCCCTGAATACAGATGTCTCCTGATTGGTTGTGTACAGTACTTGTACACAATAGAACATGCTGTGGAAAATATCGCATATTATAGGTGTTGATCGATCTCTGTAACTCTCTTATAAGTTTTCTATAAACTTGGGAATGCAGCAGAGATACAGAAGAAATTAACATAAGTTAACACTTTAAAAAGACGATAAATTCCAAATAGTTGCTTAAATAAAGGTTTATAGGGTACCGTTGTCAATCAGACATTCTACTCATATAAAAGGATTGACACTTCAAATTATGTCACCATTTTCTTTAAGCATGAACCCAAACATGAATAATTATTAAATCTGAAATTCAATTGTTTGTTGTTATTTAGTCCCATTTATCCCAGCTCATACTACCTTATCCAGACTCTTTTAACAGTTCATACTCTCCAATCAACGGTCAGCTAAACGGCCAGCTTAACGGTCAACTGCAGCCCAATCAGTTGAACAACCAGCTTAACAACCAGCTAAACAACCACTTAAACGGACAGTTAAACAGCCAACTCAACGGTCAGTTAAACAGTCAACTTAACAGCCAGCTGAGTGGTCAGATGAACGGACAACTTGGAGGTCAACTTGGAGGTCAGTTAAGCGGTCAGTTAACCGGCCAACTGAACAACCAGTTAACCGGCCAACTAAGCTTGGCTCAACATCAGTTGTCTTCATATGGATTCCCCTATGGTCTATCAACTTTAGGTAAATATTTTTTTAAATCTTAAAGATTTAAAATAAAGGTTTTAAGGATAATGTATATTTCTTCTGCTGCCAGGTCAAATTTCTCTCATGAGAATAATCAAGCACCGTGCTCTGCAATCTGATAACATCGATGAGAATTTTCCCAATTACTTCATGAAAACTTAAGTTAAAAACTAGTGCTTTATATTACTGAATGGTACAAAAGAGTATAAGTTAGCCATTGAGGTAAAATATTGATACGACCATTTGTTATAATTTACATCAATATTCATTCCTGAAGTGGTCTGCCTTTTATGCAGGCTTTCAAAGCTACTGGAGATATAAAGTTTTAGATATTACAACCAACATTTTTAATAGAAATATCCATTTTTCGAAAACTTTCATCCTTTTTTTTGGGATACTACACACTAGGATTTAAAAACTATCGGCGATCAGAGATCGTCTGTCAATTATTATTTGCATTCTTTGACTGTATTTAGAAGCTAAGGATAAAATAACCTGGCTTTTCTGTAGGTTTCTTTTAAAATCTATGAATACTTGGTAGAAAAGGACCTCTTGTGTTTTTCTTTCTTATCCTGGGGAAAAGTAACAATTTCTAATCTCTCCTTTATTAAGACCAGGAGACCACCCCACACACCCGTATCAAATTCAAATCTTAGACATTATATATTTTCTTTCAAGTTCATTTGTTATTCAACTTAAATTTACTATTTTTGGGAGAAAATTTGGCCACTTTAAAAATAAGCTTAATGTCAATTTAAAAAGTTTAATTGAAATCAAATATAATTTTCTTGATTTGCTGATCCCTTTATCTTTGCAATCTGATGGTGTGAATAAATTTGTCATTGCAGACTTTGGCTTTTTCATCTAACAGAATTCTATTGCTTAAAATATCATCAGGATGCAGAGATATCAGGATAAAAAAGAGTAAATTTTTCTTCCTCATAATTCTAAATCTTTTTCATATTGTAGATTGTAATTTTCCACAAATAACTTACTGCAACCTTTTTGGAAAGAAATGAGTTTTTGTCGCAAACTCTAATTTTGTAATACCTATATCTCTGGATCCCGAAGTCGTAAACCTTAGATATTTCAAACTATGAAATCTGTTAGATCACATAGCCTAACTTTGAAATATTAAAGGTTTCCATCATTAGGTTGCAAAGATATAGGAATTACAAAATTTGAGTTTGTGGCAAAAACTCAATTCCTTCAATCATTTTTCTATTTATTTATAAATGAGAATACAGACTACAGTATAAGACCGAATTTATGTAATCCACACTATTTTCCATTTTTCAACATATTTCAATTTATTTTGCGAAAAGTTGGTTTAAATCTAAAATACTTCATGATAAAACTTTTATAATAAAAACCCCTCGAAACCACAGGCATTGAATATTAATGCAGAATCCCATCTAGAATAAAAATGCTTATTTTTATGAAAAGCAATACTTCTTTAAGGACCGATATTCTTTAAAACGATGTGTTTAAAAACCTATAAACCATTTTATATTCAACTGTTGAACAGAAAAGTTTTTATTATACCTGTTTAAAATAAAAACGTTTCAGCATTTTGAAATAATTTTTGTTGTATTTATTAGTCAATCAAATTACAATTTTTTTATTTTTAAATGACAAAAAAAGATGAGTTTAACACACAATAGGGGCTGAGCCACCCCCCCCCCCTTCCACCACTGGTTACAAAATTTTAAAGATTTGTTTTTGTTTTGATAAGATGGTCTTTGTTTATTGTTTCTATGCTATAATTGTACAAATTAATTACGGAAATGGTGTTACTTGTTCTTTATATATATATATATATACTTTTTATAGAATAGAGGATTTCTGGGACGACATAAGGAAATAAATGAGGGGGGGGGTGGACTCCAAGAATTTGATTGGAAGTGAAAAGGAGAGATTGGACGTGAGAAGAAGAGGTTGGAAGTGAAAAAGAAAGGTTGGAAGTGAATAGTAGAGGTTGGAAGTGAAGAGGAGAAATTTGAAGTGAAAAAAAAGATGTTGGAAGTGAAAAAGAGAGGTCGGAAGTGAAGAGATGAGGTTGGAAGTGAAGAGGAGAGGTTTGAAGTGAAGAGGAGAGGTTTGAAGTGAAGAGAAGAGGTTGGAAGTGAAGAGGAGAGGTTGGAAGTGAAGAGGAGAGGTTGGAAGTGAAGAGAAGAGGTTGGAAGTGAAGAGGAGAGGTTGGAAGTGAAGAGGAGAGGTTGGAAGTGAAGAGGAGAGGTTGGAAGTGAAGAGGAGAGGTTGGAAGTGAAGAGAAGAGGTTGTAAGTGAAGAGGAGAGGTTGGAAGTGAAGAAAAGATGTTGGAAGTGAAGAGAAGAGGTTGAAAATGAAAAAGAGTGGTTGGAAGTGAAGAGGAGAGGTTAGAAGTGGAGAGAAGAGGTTGGAAGTGAAAAGAAGAGGTTGGAAGTGAAGAGGAGAGGTTGGAAGTGAAGAGGAGAGGTTGGAAGTGAAGAGAAGAGGTTGGAAGTGAAGAGAAGAGATTGGAAGGGAAGAGAAGAGGTTGGAAGTGAAGAGGAGAGGTTGGAAGTGAAGTTGAGAGGTTGGAAGTGAAGAGGAGAGAAGAGGGGGACGGAAAGAGAGGGGTGGGGGATGATTGAGACTCAATCCATCTTTGTCCCAGTATTGTTATTGTCTAGAAGAGACTAATTTCCTTTTCTTTCCTCACTATTCACTAGAACTGCAGTATACAGCACTATACACTTTATACATTATCCCATTATATATTTATACAATTCATCGATTCATGCTATGGAAGCTGACCTAAAGAAAATTGATCTAGAGGGTATCCGAGCCAACTATCTATCTAGTATTAACTGCCCTTCTATAATTACGTCTTAGGCCATACAACCCGGCCGAATTTACCTCACCAAAGGTATGGTAAGGCCAGAGCCCAAAACTTAAGACAGGGTATCGTTATGAAAACCAATTTTAAAACCCGGGTTTCACAAATGGGGTTAGGCCTTTTTGTGCAAATCAATATTTTGGCAATGACATATTATTTTTTTCAGTTTGTTTTTATTCTCCATTATTTTCGAATCTCTTAAATCAAAATCTACACAAATGTTAAGACCCCAAAAAGAAAACTCGGGAGTTTCGTTCAACGATACTCTTTTAAATTTCGGGCTCAGAAGAGAATTTTGTACTTAGAATACAATTCCGTATTATACAATGAACTCATTTCCGGTGGCTGTACAATTGTATATTAGTTGTTTCTGAAAAAACGCAACTGAAACTGGAAACATGAAATTGAACCCAGTATTCAAACCTTATTTGTAGTCCATAGTTATAGTTATACTCGTACATATAAGATAAGATGGAGCGATGTAAATTAATTCATTATTTTAAAACATTCATTAAAAACCCTCTCCTACTCCCAACCCAAAACCTGGGCTACTCCCCCCTCCCATCCCACTCATGTCGAAACTGTTAATTATTGTTTCGACATAAGCCTAGTTAAGTTGAATGTAAACAGACCGATAAACCATTTTTTTTAGCCACTCAAACCGAGTTCGTAGTGTATTCCAGAATAACTTTGTGTTCAGTAAATAAATTCTCTTATGGCTCAGCCTTGACCTCATCTTCCTTATTCATCCATTAATTAAGCTTTTAATCCATTAATCAATCAATAAAGCTATACATCAATAAGTTAATTGAGCTTTTAATCAAACCTTCAATTAAGCTCTCAATTAATTCATCAATTAAGATATCAATTAAACCGCACTTAAGCTCTCAATAAATCCATTAATTAAGCTCTCAATCAATCAATAAATAAAGATCTGAATCACTCAATTAATAAGCTCCCAATCGATCAAAATTAAACTCTCAACCAATCAATTAATTAAGCTATCAATAGATCAATTCTATTAAACTTTCAACCAATCCATAAATTAAGTTTCCATTAAATTAGTTTAATTAAGCTCTCCAATCAAGCCATTAATCATGCTCTTAAGCAATTGATCAATTAATCAATCAATCTACCACTCAATCAATCGATCTAGCAATATACGAAGCAATATAGTTTTACCATTTTCTTGGGAAAATTTAATTAAGAGCTTTTTCATGGGAAATCAATCAAATAGTTAAAACTTTTCAGATTCTGAAAATAAAATTCAAAACTAAGATTTCATAATTTTAGGATATCCTTGCAGTTCATTACTTCCTCAACTGTCTTCAGTTCAGCAAATACAAGGACTCCAGAGCCATCTAGGGGGACTCCCAGCACTTACACATTCCCAACTACAGAGCCTACAGGTAGATAGATACATGAATACAAGGACTCCAGAGCCATCTAGGGGGACTCCCAGCACTTACACATTCCTAACTACAGAGCCTACAGGTAAATACATATATAAACACCAGCACTTCAGAGCCATCTAGCGGGACTCTCAGCACTTAAATGTTAAAGGGGTATTTAAGAGTCCAGACTCCATAATCATCTAGTGATTCAGGTTTTTTTTGTGTAGTTCTCTAAATAGGGAACAATCCCTTTAATAAAACTTTTATAAGGATATGATTGTTACTTCCCTCCCATCTGACGTGAGACTCCTCTCTTCTATTCCTGTCACATCCAGCGGATCTGCATCAAGTAAGATTACGGACACATTTTTCATTTTACAAGTCAGAAAGTTAGATACACATTTCAAATAGTCTTTTCAAATATTTCTATACAATTGTACAACTGTACAACTGTTCAACTGTACAACTGTACAACTGTACAACTGTACAACTGTACAACTGTACAACTGGACACCTGGACAACTGGACAACTGGACAACTGGACAACTGGACAACTGGACAACTGGACAACTGGACAACTGGACAACTGGACAACTGTACAACTGTACAACTGTACAACTGCACATGTATTATTATAGATGAGGTTGGTGGTGGAAAGATAGAGTTAGTATCTAAGAACCCTGAGTCTAGGAGCCTGGAGTTAAAGACTCATGAAGGTCCTGATGGAGCAAACCTTTTTATCTATCATCTTCCACCAGAATTTACAGGAGAGAACATGTTTTTTGTGCCTATTTTTATGTTCATTTTATGTTCATTTTTATGTCCATTTCAAGCTCATGTTCATGTTCGAATGCATTTTTATGTGCAAGTTTATTTTCATGTTCATAATCACGATTATGGTCACATTCATTTCCATATTCATAATCGATTCGATGTTCATGTTCATGGTAATGTTCATGTTCATAACATGAGGCAAATTTCTTGGCCACATCCATACCAATATCATGACTGGAAAAGCAATTACAAAGAAATTTTAATCTCTAATAACGTGCACTTTGGAAATCGAGACATAACTCTGAAAACAATTACTCCATAACAGGGGCGACGAGGGGTGGCGCGCCCCCCCCGCCCCCCTCTACGCGTGCCCCCCTGAGAGGCTGATGGGGGGCATCCATGGGGGAGGCTCTTTTAATATTACATCTGCTTGCATTTCCCTTCCTCAGGTCAGGCACAGTGAGTATTCCCCTCTTTTTCCAAGAAAATTTCCAAATATTTAATTTTCCACTTTTAGCCTTTACCGATATCCAGCAAAAAATGCACTATATAGCTTCTCAACGTTTACTGCAAAAAGATCATTTTTAAACATTGAAACAATAGTTTTAAACAAAATTTCTTCATTTCTTTGCTTTTCAAATAAATGCTTTTCTTATGTAATCAGAGTCCGAATTTAATGAATTTGAACCGCGTCTCAAATCCGCCCAAACCGGTTTCAATTGAGCGCCGGCTTAAATCTTGAAACATTGAATATAATTTTAAGTGTAACCAGCCATATTTGAGCCGCGTCTCAAATTTAAACCGCTGTTCAAATTCTTTTAATTCAAATTAAATCAACGCTTTGGTGGATTTTAATAATTAAAATAATTGTTTATATTGTTATAGACGGAAATATTCAGTATTAATATCTTTTACATATTTATATAAATAACCTTCTCTATAATTGAACTTTTAAACTTTATTTTTGAAACATGTTTTAAAAAATCAGATTCGGATCTACTTGACACATTCCAGCCCTTTGGTACTGTCATATCAGCAAAAGTGTTTGTTGACAAACAGACAAACCTCTCGAAATGCTTTGGTAAGAATTTTAAGTCACAAAAAAATGTTTAAATATTTTGTTTAGTAAATCTAAGTTTAAATCCAAGAAAATCCTGTTGCAGAAAATGTATCTAAAGAAAAGTTCATTTATTTCCATGCTCTGACATTATATAGAACAGACTACACAGAAAGGACACGTGAGAGATTGCTTTTATTTGAGAATATTTTGAATTTAACTTGGACCTAAATTGAACTTCTGCATGATTAATAATTAATATTTCAAACGCTGGATGGGAATATTGCACATAAAAAACTATATTTTCATTTTGTTCCCGTAAAATATCATTGTGTTCCAACTTTGGAAAAAAAATATTTTCCGTATCCATAACAAACAAAAATCTTGCTTTAGCTATTTCTATCATCCTGATCTTGAACTTATTATTTTGATGGTCATTTTACTCTACATATAGTATAAATTTTGTTCAAACCTATATTAACTTCTATCAAAAAGATTTTAAACATTATAAAGACACCTTTTTTATTCGTACCAAATTTTCGGTAACTTTCGGTAGGTCTAACACAACGGTAGAATTTCTTCTAAAAGTTTGTAAAACGTTTTCGTCACACAACACTAAGCTTGTGGGGTAGGTCAAATATACATGATATGCCGGGTACTGTAAAAAATCAAAGTTGAAGCCAACCGACATAGATAGAGTCGGAGCGGTACTTGCCGCTGGTTACTAAGGCCGGTACAAGGGGTCGGTCCCGTTCGAATTCAAATTGAGCCTAGTCCACCGTGTCATGAAGAATAAGTAAAAAGACTGCTGCTCTCGTCCTTTCTGTGTGATCTGTGAGTCTAGAAAGTATCAAGACTGCGAGATAATTAAATTTAATTTTTCTAAATATTTAGGGTTTAATGGAACTCAACTGAAATGTGTTGAAAATAATTCATTTTTTTAGGTTTTGTATCATTTACAACCAGTGATAGTGCGCATAGTGCAATTCAGGTAGTTTTATCAAAACCTTTTTTAAAGGACCTTCAGACCTAATTGCATGATCCTTTGTAGTGTGCCATGTCCGATTCACAACGATGCCCTTTGAACCTTTATCTGATCAAAGATGAAGTATAGACAATGAAAAAAAGTAAAAGTTGTCATGATTGAACATTTTTCAAAATAGAAAACAATATTATCTTCTTTTAACACATTTTAAAACTTGAAAGGTTTTAAGTGTACACACTTGTGATGAGGATATCTCATTCAGTAAATAGAGGGTCACTTGAAATTATGTCCACAGTTCCTTTAACTTTCATATATTTTAATAATTATTTTTAATATATTTCTTTTCAGGCTATGAACGGGTTTCAAGTTGGCACTAAAAGATTAAAAGTTCAATTAAAGAGATCTAAGGACTTGGGAAAACCATATTAAATACTGAAGTAGGTAATGGATATTAAACACATGCATTTTACATCTAAAGGTTGCAATCTCTCTGGCAAAAATGAAAATTTCTTCTTTAAACTACAGCTAAACGCAAGTGCTTTATATTTCTAAAAAGTAAATAAGAGTTAAAGTTACACAACGTGAAAGGTAAATTAATGATTTATGTGTCGCATCTGTATTTCAGCGATCTCTAAAATTATGTGAAAGACATCGAAATATTATTTTATTGAAATATATGTACAGTCACGCACCTCTGCCCCTTTAGTAAAAGTAAATTCAACCTATATGAGGCATTAAGTCTGACCACGTCAACCTTGTTGCACCGGCTGTTCTTGTCCATAGAGCTGGGTACAGTACTAACTGGGACCGGAAAGGTTGACTCGGCTCGGAAATTCAAATGTACTACGGCTGCCAAAGATCAATGACAAAGGAAACTAGGGTTCAGTTTTAATTCTTTGATTTCCAACTGATTGTAGATTTTTCCGTGCAAGAGCTTAAACTGCACGGGAAGGGGGGGGGTTTAAATGTGAACAATGATAATTATGGGCCCCCCTTCCCCCCCCCCCCCCTCCGTGTACAATCTAATTTATTGATTTTCATATTATGTTTGTTTAGGATAAAAGTGACAAAATTGCATTTGCAGCGACTGAAAGAGAAAATATAGACAGCGAAATAGATTTCTCTTTTTAATATTTAATAATCATGAAAATAAGCAGAAAACATTTCTAATCTTTCATGTTGATTAAACTGACCAGAATATCGAATTAAACAGGGTATTATTATATTGAACATAGATCGGAGATGTTAAGATTCATAAATATTTTAAATATTCTTACATTTCAATGGAAATATGTAAGATAATAGAATTTAACATTTGATTTTTTGATTGTTATCTTAAACTTGATTATCTTATTTTAAGATAATACCTTTCATATTTGCCTTCTTTCTCTACTTCCATAATTACTATTCTTAATTTTGAAGGATAAACTTTTTAATTAATCTTCAAAATCTGAAGTTTTTATTTTTTTATCAATTTTTACGGTTATCAATCACCTAACATTGAAATTGAAAGATTTGTCAAAATAATGCTTAAGAACTCTTAAATTCAGACGATCTTAAAAAATAAAAAAGGTCTGTTCTTTATTCTTTTTTATTAAACCAAACCAAATCCAAATTTGGAATGTTTTTTAAAGAAAGAATTAAAGCACAAGATTAAATTTTTAACTGAATTTGAATTTATTCATTTCATTTCAGTTAAAAAAAAAATTTCAATACCAATGTTTTAAAAAAATTTGTTCAGTCAGAAGAAGTTTTCAATTTTTTCTTTTGATAATAAGTTTCGATTTGTATAAATAATTTCATCATTTCTGTTTTATAAATATTGATTCTTGTACTGATTCCAAATATTGTTTACACAACTGTCAAATATTGTACTTGTACGCCAAATATTGTACACTAATTTCTGTACATAAAATACTTTACACCAAAGAAATTTTATCATCTTATTTTATATACAATGCATATCAAATATTTAATGAAATTCAATAACAGGGAAACCGTTTTTTTTCAAAAATATTCTTGTTTTTAATCCTTTTTTACAAATTATTATCAAAAATCATGAAGGATAAAAAATGCTCGATTTTACATTTTTGTTTAATTTCTAATTCTAGCTGTAACCACAGACTAATCAAGTAATGGAAGCGTTATAATTTAACCTTTTTATCGACTCATTCTTACAATCTAGTGCCATAATGTAAAAATTAAATCGGATGTCGCCTTTCAAAGTTTCTGCTCTTTCTGTTACGTAGAAGTCGGCGTTTATATCAATACAATGATGGCGACTTTTCTATCTAAGTTTTAATTCTTAACAAGTTCTTTTTAAAAAATAAGTTTTCAGGAATGTGGTAAGTGTATCCATGCTGTTTGAAAGCTTGTTAGAAATGAAAAGTCGTCTTCATTTCATTGAAAAATCGTCTTCATTATATTGAAAAATCGTCTTCATTACATTGAAAAATCGTCTTCATTTATAGAAACATCGTCTTCATTTCATTGAAAACTCGTCTTCATTGTATTGATATAAACGACGATGACTGTATGGTTCCCAAGGAAAATGCACTTAGAACAATCAAATCTTTGTTTATGAATAAAAGTGTACCGAATATTCTGAAAGAAATATGCTCTAACAAATAAATAATTCGAAAATGTATTTTTGATATTTTTTTCTTTGAACTCCAACTAATTTTCAAATGGGCGAACAGGACACTTTCTGTAAACAAAGATTTATTGGTTCCTTGTGTACTTTCCTTGATGGTTCCTATCTTTCTAATTGTCTACAGTTATATGCTGTGATACTGTGCCACTGATTCATCAATAATTTATGAATAAATAAATGACTTAATCTATATTTAATGGAGTTTTGAGAAAACTAAACCATTGGGAGAGAGGTGCATGGGATAGGCTGGGATAGATGAATGGATAGATGATGTAGATTCATTTATATATATAGTTTGAAAAATAACTAGATGGATAGGTAGATATATAGATGGATAAAAAGAGAGATAAATGGATAGTTAGATGGATAGATAGATATATAGATAGATAGATAGATAGATATTTGATAGCTAGATAGATAGATATATGTATATAGATATATTGATAGATAGAGAGTTCGATAGAGAGAATTTAAAGAGATGGGATTGATGAAAAGACATATTTATAAAGACTGACAAAGTTTAGACATTCATAATAAATTGATTGATTGATTGATTAGTTGATAGATAGATAGATAGATAGATGGACAGATAGATATATTTACAGATACATTTAAATATTTAAGAGAACAGATGACAAGCTTTCCTCTTTTTTATTTTCACTATGGAGAGCGCATATATAAAATACATGAATAAACATACCCCCCCCCCCTCCCCCTCTCAAACACTCAGAGTTTCTATTATTTGTATCACAATTACTTGGAAACTTGGAAACAGATTACAATCAACTATCTATTCAAATTCATTCGTCAAGAGGTTTTCAATTTCTTTGTCATTTACTTTGTCCTTTTCCTTATCCTGTTTCTTTTCCTTATCCTTGTCCTTTCCTCAATCTTTATTCCTTATTCTTTTCTCTAACCTTGTACTTTTCCTTTTCCTTCTCCTTTTCTCTATCCTCTTCTCTTTCCTTGTACTTTTCCTTACCCTGTTTCTTTTACTTTTCATTGTCCTTTTCCTTATCCTTGTCCTTTTCCTTATCCTTGTCCTTTTCCTTATCCTTGTCCTTTTCCTTATCCTTGTCGTTTTCCTTGTCCTTGTCCTTTTCTTATCCTTGCCCTATTCCTTATCCTTGCCCTTTTCTTTATCCATGTCCTTTTCCTCATTATTGTCCTTTTCCTTATCCTTGTCCTATTCCTTTTCCTTTTCCTTTTTCTTGTCCTTTTCCTTGTCCGTTTCCTTGTCCTTTTCCTGTTCCTTATCCTTGTTATTTTCCTTATCCTTTTCCTTTTCTTAATCCTTGTTTTTTTCCCTTATCCTTGTCCTTTTTCCATAACCTTATCCTTGTCCTTCATGATACCTTCATGATACTGTCATAATACCTAAATGGTACCTTCATATAATACCTTCATGATACCTTCATGATACCTTCATGATACCTCCATGATACCTCCCTGTTACTTCCATGATACCTCCCTGTTACTTCCATGATACCTCCCTGTTACTTTTATGATACCTCCCTGTTACTTTCATGATACCTCCCTGTTACTTCCAGGTACCTGCATGATACCTCCCGCTGTTACCTCCATGATACATTCATGATATCTCCATGTTACCTCCATAATACCTTCATGATATTCAAGCTCTTACCTCCATAATACCTTCATGATACCTACCTCTTACCTCCATAATACCTTCATGATACCTACCTGTTACCTCCATTATACCTTTATGATACTTCCCTGTTACCTCCATTATACTATCATGTAAAGATTTATTCCCCAACGTAATATTTCATAATCTTTATAATAATCCTCCAGTGTACTTGGTTCAATATATCTTCATTTTCTTTACTCTCTCTGTCTCATCGGCTACCGTAATTACTCAACACCTCCCTCCCGTTACAGCTCTGCTAATTCCCCCCCCCCCCCCCCTCCTCTACCCCTTCAACTGTTCTTATTCCTTCCCAGGATGCCCTTGACCTCATGATTCCATGACATCATGGTTCCCTTGACCTTGGTTTCCTTGACCTTGGTTCCTTTGACCTTGGTTCCCTTGAACTTGATTCCCCTGACCTTGGTTCCCTTGACCTTGGTTTCCTTGACCTTGGTTTCTTTGCCCTTGGTTCCCTTGATCTTGGTTCCCTTAACCTTAGATTCCTTGACCTTGGTTCCCTTGACCTTGGTTCCCTTGACCGTGGTTCCTTGACCTTGGTTTCTTTGCCCTTGGTTCCCTTGATCTTGGTTCCCTTAACCTTAGATTCCTTGACCTTGGTTCCCTTGACCTTGGTTCCCTTGACCGTGGTTCCCTTGACCTTGGATTCCTTGACCTTGGTTTCTTTGCCCTTGGTTCCCTTGATCTTGGTTCCCTTGACCTTGGTTCCCTTGACCTTGGTTTCCTTGACCTTGGTTTCTTTGCCCTTGGTTTCCTTGACCTTGGTTCCCTTGCCCTTGGTTCCCTTGACCTTGGTTCCCTTGACCTTGGTTTCCTTGACCTTGGTTTCTTTGCCCTTGATGCCCTTGATTTTGTTTCCCTTGACCTTGGTTCCCTTGACCTTGGCTCCCTTGACCTTGGTTCCCTTGACCTTGGTTTCCTTGACCTTGGTTCCCTTGACCTTGGTTCCCTTGATCTTGGTTTCCTTGACCTTGGTTCCCTTGACCATGGTTCCCTGGACCTTAGTTCCCTTGACATTGGTTCCCTTGAAATTGGTTCCCTTGACTTTGATTCCCTCGACCTTGGTTTCCTTGACCTTGGTTCCCTTGCCATTGGTTTCCTTGACCTTGGTTTCCTTGACCTTGGTTCCCTTGAAATTGGTTCCCTTGACCTTGGTTTCCTTGACCTTGGTTTCCTTGACCTTGGTTCCTTTGACTTTGGTTCCTTTGACCTTGATTTCCTTGACGTTGGTTCCCTTGCCCTTGGTTTCCTGGACCTTGGTTTCCTTGACCTTGGTTTCCTTGACCTTGGTTTCCTTGACCTTGGTTTCCTTGCCCTTGGTTCCCTTGACCTTGGTTCCCTTGACCTTGGTTCACTTGACCTTGACTTCCTTGACCTTGGTTTCCTTGACCTTGGTTCCCTTGACCTTGGTTTCCTTGACCTTGGTTTCCTTGAACTTGGTTCCCTTGACCTTGGTTTCCTTGATCTTGGTTCCCTTGACCTTGGTTTTCTTGACTTTGGTTTCCTTGACCTTGGTTCCCTTGAACTTGGTTACCTTGACCTTGGTTTCCTTGACCTTGGTTCCCTTGACCTTGGTTTCCTTGACCTTGGTTTCCTTGACCTTGGTTCCCTTGACCTTGGTTCCCTTGACCTTGGTTACCTTGACCTTGACTTCCTTGACCTTGGTTCCCTTGACTTCCTTGAACTTTGATTCCGTTTAATTTTGTTTTAAAAGTAATTCCACAGAAAAGTGAATTGTAGTTTTATAATGAATTAAATTGTGTATAATTCTAGTGAACACATGCAACATAACATTCAGTTATCAGATTATTATAATATATAAACCTGACATTAATTAGCTTGAAACATGAAATCCAGCATGTATATTTTTGAGATGTCATTTAATTTAAATATCTGTAAACAATACTTCAGTTTGAACAAAACAAAAACAATATCATTGATATATTTCAATCTAAAAATATATTTTTTAGCAAAATTTGAAAAATGTTTGATAATGATAATATAACACTAGTTCAAAATAACTTTGAACTAACCAAATACATTTTAAAATTATTACAGTTTGTTTAAAACTTAGTTATATTGAAACTTAGATGGCGATAGAAAATCTTCACATTTCTGAATTGTTTTGACCTGATATGTTGAATATTTAATTGCGGTAATTCGATATTACGACCAAAATGTGAAAAGGATGATTTTCTGCTGCAAAGTGTTTGGGTGATTTCAGTATTTTTTTTTTTTGATAACTTTTTGAAAATATGCA